AATTTCTCTTTTTTATTTTACAAGCATTCTTCTTCCTAAATATAATGCATTAAATTTTCATCCCACATTTATGGTTTTTGGAAAAACGTAAATTTTACTTTTAATTTTCACAAATTAATGTTTCCACATTTTAATTTCTTACGAAAGCGAATTTATTTTTTACATTTCTTTTCACTTTTTTATTTTATAATTTTTTTTTTTCCTAAACTTCTTTCTTTTCACTTTTCTATTTTAAAAAGAATTTTATGTTTAACTTTTTTTTTCACAAAAGTAATATTTATTTTTGCAAGTTTAATTTTTTCTTTTCGCAAAATTTGTTCTTGTCACATTTTTATTTTATTTTTAACTCTTCTCCTCTTGTTTTAAATACTTATTCATTTTATATCTCCTTTTCTCCAAAAGTAAACCTAGATATATTTTTTTGTCTATGAAATTTAGGTTGGAAATTTACATGCATATCATTTCCCTCTGCAGGCCTTTGTGGATAATATTTTTTGTAGCTTTAGACCAATACCTTCAATGTTAATTCTATTTAGTTTAATTGGAATACTACATTTTTTACTTTTTATGCTGCTGATACATAATGAGAGATACTCAGAACTTTTCCTTCTAACTTATTGTACTAGTGACTATACTAACTTTTTGAAACACTTAACAAAACATCACTAATTCTCTTTTACACATCTTACTTTTATTCAAAAAGTTCACCGAATTATGTCTAACAAATGTAAATTTTACACTTTTCATTTACTTTTTTTTCCTTATATTTAACTTTTATATAAGTTTATATATCATTTATATAACTTTTACATTAGTAACACTCCTCTCTTTTGCATTAAGCATACTCATTTATATTTTTCTCCCTTTTCCTCCAAAACAAATACAGACTTACATAAGTTTCTTTATTATAAGACCTACTGATTTTGAACAACTATTATAAGGAGTTGTCAGGACTTGTATGTCTTTTGATCTGCTTTGAAAATATTACGTGTCTGAATAGGAACAGGGAGATTACTAAAGCTATATTCAAGTATGTGTGGAATAGACGACACAAGCAGGAAGGGTGTACTGAACCCTTTATTCTCTATAAGATTGCAGGTGCTTCCGTACTTCGGGATACAGAGACCAACCACTCGTGGTTTGAACGTAAAAATATAAAACTTGATTTTCATCAATATTGAACTATTTTGGACATCCTATTTAAATCTCCAATCATACGCTAAATTTTGGTTTTCTTCATATGAAAACTTCACTCAGATTCTTAATATTATTCCACCATTCACCGCAGAACTTTATAAACACATCTATATTTGAACTTATCACAGCCTTGCTTTCTTAACAAGGTACAGGAGATTGAATTACTTTTAACTATAGAGAAGAATAGCTACACTGTGGTGTATTATTTTAATTTCGAATTTTAGCCCTATTTGGGAAAAAGAACTAAAAAAAAAAATGTTTATAATACACATGGAATTAATATTCAGCTAGGCATTGGAAGCTTGTTCCCTTTCTTCCTACTCGAAAAAGTTTTTCAAATAGTTATGGAAATGCGAAAAATAGTCCATGAAATAAAAAAAAATTAAAATTGTTATTATAATTATTATTATTGTCAATGTTATTTGTTGTTCATGCAAACACTTAACTATATAAGTAAGGATCTTCGATTCTTGGCCCGCCTAGCGTTTTCGATAAGTTAAGAATGAAACTGTTAATGCCATTGAGGTAAAGGAAGAAAGGGCTAGCCAGGCACTTTGAGTGAAGCACTACTCCGGTCTCCACATGGGGCGTTTTTTGTTTACCTTCAGAAGTTCCCTTGACAGCGCTTCGATACTGTTTCGACACAGGACAGTTCCATACAAATCGAAAAACGGGACATTTCCGCATAAAAGAAACATCCATTGTGTGATGAATAATAGCAATTTGCATAGTTTAGTGACATTTACGCAAAAATCACATCTTGGTTATTTTTCGATAACCAACAACAGTAATTTTGATTATAAATTTGTTTTATACAATTCTAAGTAGTTGAACTACAAAAATATAGATTTTAGCAAAAATGTTATGCTTAAAGAATGAAAAATACCTTTCGGTACCTTTAAAATTGTATACGTCTTTCGATACCATTGATAGCGTATTCGCTACTTTTATTTTATGTTCCAAACGCCAAAATGTTTTAAATAAAATAAATTTTTTTGTCATCCACATATTGTAGAAAAAGAAAATATGTGCATTTATGTGTATATTTACGACGTAATTACAAAATATTTACATCCAATCGTGTCAAAACCCGTTGATCTTAATGGTAAATCACCCAATGTTTTGGACACCCGAAAGGGATCGCGAGTGCTTCAAAGCAGTGTAGCGAAACCGGTTAGGGCCTCTCCTTCGTACTTCCAAAGAATCTGTAAGGGACTCCCTACAGATTCTTTGGTACTTCCTACCTCCATGGTTAATGCAGCTGTCTCAAACTCTTTGATTTTCCCTATAGAGAAGTTTGCAAGACGTTTGATATTTATCTCAAACTCTACTTTTGTTGAGGGTCAATTTATTTTAAGCACTCCACCATGTTGACCTTCTTGATTAAAACAAACATAAAAGAAACCACGCCAAGGGTCTTTCTTAAAACTTCACACACATCTTGTTGAAAAGTGTAGAGTGAGGAGGGGAAACAATGAATGGAATTCTATTTCTCTCAATGTTGCAATCAGTTAGAAAACGAGAAATTAGATATAAACATCGTGATTGGTTGATGAAAAGCAGGATTTGTACAGTTGATTTAAGTTACTCATACTCGTTTGACATTCTGAAATTCAGAAGCGCTTTTTGTCTTCGAATGACTGCACAATGGCAAGACAAATCATGGTGGAAAAATGTTTTTTCAAAAAAGGAAAAGTTGAAGGAAAATTGCAATTTTTTTCAAGAAATATAATCTTTTTTTTTTTTTTTTTTTTTTTTTTTTTGAGCACAAGAGTAATTTGTGTCCGTGTTAGCTACATGATAGCAGAAAAATTACTAAAGTTTGGAATGCTTTTCTTGGTGGAGAGTTTGGAAGAAAGTGTCTTCAGTGTGCAGTTGATTTGCTTTATCCATAATGATTTGGCCATGATTTGTCTTTGTGCAGTTTATTTGCTTTGTTCAAGCTATTTTGAATATTAGGGATCTGATGTGACTAGTGAGGCGCGTGGATGATGTGGCAGCAGATACATTCAAAAAGTAAAAATCCAGATGCAAGGACTGTGTGTTTATTTCTGTAGTGATGGATGAATCACAAGTAGGAAATTTTTGTATTGTGCATACTAATTAATAAGCTTACTGCTGAAGCAAATAACATTGGTTCTTTGCCATAACGATCCTAGCAGTTCGGGTTGAAGTTCTGCTGAAGATGAATTCCTTAATAAACTTGACTTAACATTCGAATTTCACGTCCAAAAATGTATCCAAAAATTTCCGACTTTGCTTCTTCGTTTACTTAGCGTATAATAATTAACGTTCGAAAAATTATATTACAATTTTGCAACTGAATGTCGTACCAAAGCAAAACAAGTCAATGGAAATTACAAATTGTTCCAACAGTTTCAGTCGATTTGAGTGAAAGATTTAAACTATTGTCCCTCTCCCCGGGGATAAAACTTGTGTCAAAATTAAATATTTTGTCTCTCAAACCCTACTTTCAATGAAAGTTAGTTTCTTCGATCACATGTATACTGTAAAAAATTTCACTTTAGTGTTATACAGTTTAATAGTTCAAATTAAGAAGTAGCCCTAACACATTCTTCATTTGATATTTTAAGAATTCTTTTTATGGTGAAACCTCAGCAATGGTTCAGGTTTTCGCCAGTGAAATAAAACATTCAATGTATGCCTGATTTTCATATGTTTCGAAAGTTTAATTGTGGTTGTTTGTATGTATTTTCGGATAGTTGACAGAGTATTTAGATGTATGCATGACAGATGCATATAATAGCTGACAGATGCATATAATAGCTTTAAAAGATTCCTCAGAAGCTAAAAAATCATGTCATATTTGAGAAAGTACCCAATAAAAGTCAGTGCAGACCAACAGAATTCTACGGGTAGCAGTAGAAAGTTTTACTGGTTTCTATGGCGCATTTACAGACAAGTAAGGATTGGGTTATTTAATTATGGCAAAGCACACGAGGGCTATCTGCCTAAAAGGAGGGAGGCCTTCGTGGAGGACTTTCTAAGAGGAACTGGCTCGTATATACATTACACATGGGGAAAACCACGAAAACGCCCATGCAGCCAGCCCGTTCGCGGGATTCGAACCTCGGACCGAACTACCAGTGTTCAGCGTCTTTACCGCTCGGCCGCTGGTGGGCCTACAGACAAGTAAGAGAAACCCACAGAAACCAATAGAAACCAGTAAAAGTCAGCAGAAACCCATAGAATTTTATGGATACCCATAAAAAGCTTTACTGGTTTCTATGGGGCAATTTTATCAGGGCTGGCGCATATGTTTTTCGTTTATTCTTCATAACTATGTTTTAGTTTTATGTAAATGCATTAAAATTTGTGTATTAATAACATGTAACATACAAAATGGCTTTTAAAAACCGATTAGCAGTAATTTTATTATGGTTTTATTCAGGTGGAACGCGAAAGGTCTAAAACACATTTTCACCATTTTGTTGTTACTGATATATATAGCGCAGCTGAATACAACTCTAAAAAGAAGTCCAGTCCTCATAGGGAAAAACATTGTTCATAACATAATGTATATTTCTATAAATAAATATCAATATAGTATGCGCATCCTACAGGAAATAATTTGGGTATCCTTTCTTTCCATAGACATAATGTCCATGAGATATACACAAAGATCACTTTTCTGGTGACATTCAGCATATCTGTATAAATTTGCATATTCAGGCATAGCTTGTATAGAATTTATTGCAATTTAGCTAAAATATCTTGTCACCCAGCTAAAATATCTTGGAGTGGTCATAGACCAGAGACTCTCCTGGCTTCCCCATATTACGATGCTAAGACAAAGAGTGAATCTCCTAACCAATGCCATGCGGGGAATGACAGCAATCAAATGGGGGCTGTCACCCCAAATTCTCCGCATCTGGTATAAGACTGTTACGGAGAAAATCGTCACCTATGGTGCCTCAGTATGGGCCACGCGGCTGAACACCCATATGAGACGTCAATTAAATACCATACAGCGTCAACAGCTACTAATAATCTGTAAGGCTTACAAAACATCCCCAACGGCAGCCTTGCAAGTTCTAGCCGGTGTACCACCCCTCGATCTCTTCATAGAGCGAGAGACGACGATAGGGAAAGTTATTAGACTGAGGCAACACCACACACTGTGGGGTCATACTTACAATCCCAGTGAATACGAAGAACACAGGACCATCTTCGCCTGTCACCCGGCAGATGACACTCTCTCTCGAGAAGCGCAAAAGATCAAGCCTATAGGTATCTTCACAGACGAGTCAAAGACACCGGAAGGGACTGGCTGTGCATTCTGCCACGTCTCTGAAGGGGTGACGATCCATACGTGGAAAAGGAGGTTGGCCCATCATAACTCGGTCTACCAGGCTGAGTTACTGAAAATCAACGCAGCACTGAAATATAGAGCGGATTCCCTGCATACTCCCATAGAAATTTACACCGACTCAGCCTCAAGCCTGGCTGCCATAGCTAATGAAAGAGCGGGAAGCCCCATAGTCCAAGACATGAGGAGGCAGATTTTCCATCTTAGCCAAAAAAAAAAAAACCCCACGTCTCACCTGGGTGCCAGCACATACTGGCATCTAGGTAATGAGCTGGCAGACGCGGCGGCAAAGGAGGCAACTAAATAGGCCGACACATATGAGGATGCCACGTTAAAGCCGATCACCTTTATGAACCGGCATTCGCTAGAGCTGTTAATAACATAGTGGCAAAGGAGATGGAACCAGGGCACCACGGGTTGTCGAGCTTACAAGTTCATACCGAAAGTGAGGACAGAGGCCCAGTCTACCTCTTATTTTATGACACAATTTTTTACGGGATATGGTCCATTCCTCACATACAAATATCGCTTTGGCTTCGTAGACAATGACACCTGCGAATATGGTGAGGTTGCCGACCCAGACCACCTCCTATTCTCATGCAGCCTCAGAGAACAGTTAAGGCTAAAAAAGCCGAATGATGACAGCTACTGACCTCACTGCCTAAAGACCACTAAAAAACTCAAGCAGGATGAGCTAAAGATCAAGGCTGTACTAGACGAGTGTCTCATAATGTATAGGAAAGGGCACGCCAACAGAAGGGTGCAGACCGTCGGTAACCACACTTAGCGCCGCTACATGTCTTGTATATTTTCAAAAGTACTAATATTCAGCCTAATGTATGTTAAATGTTATATTGTACATCTCTGCAGCATAATGTATAACTCATGTTTGGCCAAATGGCTGCCACACTGTTCTTTTTCCGTACTCATGTGTTTTCATGTTTCTATTAGCCTTCATGTATACTCACGCATTCTTCTGTATAATTTCATAAGTACTAATATTCAGTTTAACGTACGTTTATATGTACTCTTGTACACTTCTACAGCATAATGTATGCTTCAAGTTAGGACAGTATCCTCAGCATTCATGTATATTCACACATTCTCCTGTACAGCCTCTAAAGTACTAATATTCAGTTTAATGTATGCTATTATTGTAAATCTCTACAACATAATGTATGTATCAAATTTGATCAAATGGCTGTCACATCGTTCTTTTTTTTTCCCCCGCACTTACGTGCCTTCATGTTTCTTCCAGCTTACATGTATTTCGTGCATCCACTTGTATTGCTCCATAAGTGCTTATATTCAGTTTGATGTATGTTATATTTATTCTTGTACACTTATACAGCATAATGTATGTATCAAGTTTGGTCAGTATCTTCAGAATTCAAGTATATTCACGCATTCTCCTGCATAGCTTCTAAAGTACTAATATTCAGTTTAAAGTATGCTATGTGTACTATTGTAAATTCTATAGCATAACTTCTCCAACATAATGTATGTACGTATGTATCATATTTGGACCGTACTCACGTGCCTCCATGTTTCTTTCAGCATATTTGTATATCATGCATTCAGCTTCAGCTTAATGTATGTTATATCATACATTCAGCTTAATGTATGTCATATCTTCTACAACATAATGTATGTTTCAAGTTTGGTCAGTTTCTGCATCACTCATGTATACTCGCACATTCTCCTGTATAGCCTCTAAGTTCTAATATTCAGTATAATGCACGTTATATGTATTATTGTAAAATCTACAGTATAATGTATGTATCATGCCTGGTCATATGGCTGTCACATTGTTTTTTTTTTTTTTTTTCCCGTACACTTGTGCCTTCACGTTTCTTTCAGCATTCATTTACATTGACACATCCTCTTTTATAATTTCACAAGTGCTTATATTCAGCTCATTGTAAGTTATATGTATTTATGTACACTTCTACAGCATAGTGTATGTAACAAGTTTGGTCAGTATCGTTAGCATTTATGTACTTTCACACATTCTCCTGTATGGCTTCTAAAGTACTATTAATCAGTTTAATGTATATTATTTGCATTATTGTTAAATTTTTCAACATAATGTATGTGTTCTTTTTTTTTTTTTTTTTTTTTTCTTTCCCCTTCTCATGTGCCATTATGTTCTCTCAGCACTCATGTTTATCACGCATTCTCTTGTATGGTTTCATACGTACTAATATTCAGGTTAAGGTATGTTATAAGTATTATTGTGTATTTCTACAGCATAATGTATGTATCCTGTTCAGCATTAACAGTGTTAATCAGCACCAGTTGGCTCGCATCGGTACCTTCGTGTATTACCAGCACCATGTACAGTCTTAATTGTTTCAATGCTTAGTATAATGCTTTTTATATGTAATATTTTAAGTACAATTCTGGCGTTCAATGTATGTCCCACGTATGGTACTAACAGTGTCTGTTTATCCTAGTATTCTGTATGGTACTATAGTATCCTGTTTATCCATGCTCCCCCATGTTTGCTCCTGAAGTCTCACCTCATAGCATAATGTAAATCACATGTACAGCATTAAAAGTACCAATGGTACAATGTACGCATGGGTATTGTCACGCGACTGACACATTGATATTCGCACTCAAACATTTTCATGCAAAAATAGCTTCCATGTACCCTCATGTACAGTCTTAATAGCTTCAAATCATTGTATAATCCATGTGTCTCTTATGTTAATAATCCCTTATTCTCTGTTGACAATAGAATGTAACCAAGTCATCAAGGGCCCTGTAACCGTGCCCATGTACATCTTTTATATAGTACAATAAATATCCGCGGAGTTGGCATCCAATTCCGTATGGGTATACTCGTTATACTCGGGACGGAAGCCAGCTCAGGGGCTCAAACCACGAAGGCTTGCTAAGAAGGCGGGAGAAACACCTTATATACTCCCTCTTTTTAAAGGGCGACTGGGATTTTAGGAGACCCAATCACCAAATCCTGATGGTGAAGAATCATCATTCACCATCTTTTAGTTAGGGCGCCACTGTAGAGACATTGCTCATTTTTCAACTCTTCTGCTTTCAAAAAAAATCTAATGTCTCTGCACATTTATTATGAAAGTTTTGAAAAATCAAGAATATTATATAAGTGTTTGTGTATAAGTATTATATACATGCATATATTCATCGATTTTAAAGTTACTAAAGGCAGAAACAAATAATGGAAAAATTTACAAGCTTCAGAAAATTTTATGACACATAATACTTGGTATAATATGTATTATATATATATATATATTTTATATTTTTATTAATTTACTTTTTGAAAGCTGTTCTGTAAGAATGCAAAAGCTAAACAGAAGAATAAATACTACATAATCCGTACATGCAAAAGTAAACCAAAAAAGGCCTTTCAGCATCAATATTGGAATATAATTTGTTGTTCCAGTGATTGTAAATATTAGAAATAAGCCATTTGGACCTAACTCATTGAAACGTTTAAAAACTTTTTTCAGGTGAAAATTTAAATATCGTTGGGTAAAACTAAATTTGTGGTTTAATTTTTCTCTATATGAAAATCTTTATACAGTATATGCCATCATTAAAAGTGAGAGAAATTTCAGTTTATCATTAGCTTACTATTATTAAGTACGCTTAATATCCAATTTTTCCTTTTCCTGTAAACGTGTAATGATGATTTCTAAGAATATATTGATTTGAAGACACTCCCTGAGTAGGCGAGCAAAATCAAGTTAATCAATAATGCATTTCGAATATTTGGTTGAAGTATTGAATTTTGTTTATTGCTTTGTTAAAATTTTTATTTATTAAATCTTATTATTTGATTAAAGCTATTTTGAAGTATTACGTAAGTTTTCCATTTTACGAGAATATTTTTGATAAACATGCATTGGAATATTTAGTCATGTTGCAAAATATTCTGTTTGAATGTATGGTTATTTGTCCAAACTTTATTTTTTTTAATTTTCTGTTTATCTTTCTTTTTATTTTATTTATTTATTTTTTATTTTTTATTTTATTTTATTTTATTTATTTTATTTTTTTATTTTTTTTTTTGTGTGTGTGTGTGTGTGTGTGTGTGTAATAGTATATAATTGAAATTGAATAGTTATGTTTATTATACACGCTGTTACTGCACCAAGTTACTACAAAAATTCCAAAAATTTACAAATTATGCATTAAATACTAATTTAGCTTAGCATAAAACTGCTGCAAAACTTCGATTTTAATAAATTCTGTACATTTCCTCTGCTAAACTGTGTTTCTGTTTTATTTATCATAATCATATTTGATTCCAATCTCTGCTTCTGCAAAGATACATTGCTGAGTGTTTGCATTTCTTTAGATCTTGTGAATCTGCCAAAGTGGTGATATTTTTTTACACCAGAAATGGAAACCATATTAATTTCTTAACTGCTCTAATATTCCTCCAAAACCATGTTCCTTAATAGATTTAAGCGGAATAGAAATTACTTTATAGAATTGTTTCTAATTTTAACAAACAGCATGATGTGTAGCTTCTTCCATAAAGTACTAACTTTGCATGTAAAGTTAAGAATTTATTTATTAATACAATGTATTTAAAGTAATAGCAGTTAAGAAACATTTAATTGTTTTACCTGAAGAGATTAAGAGGTGCTATTGGAATTCTTTTTATGTCTATTTAATATTCTGCAAAAGAAGTTCGATTGTTTCAAAATATAAGTAATTATTTCTAACCAATTAAAATATGAGTTAAATTTTATTTTTCCGGGCGGTATTTTGTTAGTAATAAATATGACAAAATAGTAAATGATAGAGTAACTAATATTCAGCTCATTCTTCGTTTGATATCAGCAATTTGTGTATGCATTAACTTATGTTATAATTGGAAACCATAACACAAAGATTTAAATAAGGAGCTTTTTTGTTAACTCTTCTGTATAATTTATTATCATCAATGATGAAGAATGTCGCAAGATATGGCTAACTTCTTTTTAAAAAGCATTAAATTAGTGCTTCAGAGAAAAGGGAGTGCTACAGAGACAAAAATCAATATAAATATACAAACCTAAGTCCCTGGAATTTCCTTGAGTATTTTTACCAGTCGAATTGATTTCTGCTTTATGCAATCTGAAAATTATTTTTCATTTGAATAATTTAAACTAATTCATTTAATTTCACTTACGAAATCATCCAAAATAACATTCTGTTTTTGAGACAACTATTTTTTTAATTCAAATATTATGTAGAAGGCTACTTGGACTTTATTTATAGTGGAATTATTTTACGTAACATTTAAGCGCCTATCCATCAAAACAACAA